ATCTCTTCAGATTGCATAATCACTTCAATGTCTCAATTCCCTCATTTCCTGAAGGTTCCAACATCGCCCGATCTTGCGGGATGTCCGCTCGCCGGAGCGCGGACGGATCTGCTAGCAGTTTTGAGATCGCACCGGCACTGCAGGCTGGTCGCTTCCGCTTGGGCCTCAGTTTCCCCGCGAACTGGGGCTCTCTGAGGCCTCTTGGAGCCTGGCGCTCTGTGCTGCTGCCGGTCTACCCCGCTTGTCCGGTGTAGCCGAGCCCGGGTGGGTCCCAGACTGTAGCTAGTGACCCCACGCCCCCGGGCAGGGGTCTGCGCACGCGTAAGATCAGTGTCCCGCCGCGCATCTGGAAGTCGGGGGCTACTGGCCGTCGAGTGCAGGGCAGATTCAGTGTCCGTCGGTTTCCTGCCTTTGCCTCCTGCGTCCCCGCATCGGCCCCTTCTGGACCGTGTCGCCACCTGTCATTTCTCCCGTTGACCCTCAGACCTGCCAAGCTGGATGCTTCTCCCAGGCTCTGAGTGGGGGAGGGATGGGCGGCAGACACTGCTTTGTGGGTGGCACAGCTGGACTCATTGGCTTCCCTTCTGTCCCTAGTGGACTAGGAACCAGCAGCAACTTAAACTCAGTGCTTCTAAAGTCCAGCCAACCTGCTCCTCTCTCTACCCAACAGGTCTCTTTTTAAAGTTTGTATTTGTTCATCTGAAAAGCAGAGAGACAGAGAGATCTTCCGTCCACCGGTTCACCCCCCAGTGCCCGCAACAGCCAAGGCTGGGCCGGACCCAAGGCGGGAGCCTGGACCCCAGCCTGTGTCTCCCATGTGGTAGGGACCTAAGTTCTTGAGCCATCACCCGCTGCCTCCCCGGGTGGGCATGAGCAGGAAGCTGGAATCAGAAGTGGAGCCGGTACTGGAACCCAGCGCTCTGATACGGAATGCGGGTGTCCCAGGCAGCACCCTAACAGCTGAGCCAAACACCCCCCCCATTGGTTCTGCTTGGTTTCCCGTCTGCCGCAGCCACACCGCCCTCCTGGGCGTCACCCATCACCCTGCCACACCTGTTGCATCAGGCAGTCGCCCCATGGTTTTGATTCTCCTCCATGAGGCACTCCCATCCCCTATTTCTGAAGCCATACAGGGGCCCAACGACTTGAGCCTCCCGGGGTGTGCGTGGGCAGGGAGCTGGAGTCAGGAGTGGAACTGGACTTTGGGGACGCAGGCATCCCCACCTGCATCCTGCCGCCGGGCCAGATGCCTGCTCCCAACTCCCATGCTTCTTTTTTATTTTTATTTTTTTGACAGGCAGAGTTAGTGAGAGAGAGACAGAGAGAAAGGTCTTCCTTCCGTTGGTTCACCCCCTAAATGGCTGCTACAGCTGGCGCACTGCGCCGATCCGAAGCCAGGAGCCAGGTGCTTCCTCCTGGTCTCCCATGGGGTGCAGGGCCCAAGCACTTGGGCCATCCTCCACTGCACTCCCGGGCCACAGCAGAGAGCTGGCCTGGAAGAGGAGCAACCGGGACAGAATCCGGCGTCCCAACTGGGACTACAACCCGGGGTGCCAGCGCCGCAAGGCGGAGGATTAGCCTAGTGAGCCGCGGCGCCGGCCATACCCACACTTCTTAAGGCTGCAATTTAGGGCACCCTTGTCCTTCTCCAACCCAGTCTCAGCCCCTTCCCCCAGCCTTGTCTCTCCCTGCTGTGCTAAATCCCGTCCTCCAGGCAAGAGAGCCTCGTTCGCTCCCGGAAGATGCTCTGAGCGCCCCCCCTCCTGCCCGGCTCCTGCGGAAGGCACGCTCTGAAGGCATCCAGACCTGGGCTGGGGTCCTGGCCCTAGCGTTTGCCAGCAGAGCCTGTGTGGTCATCAGTGAAATGGGGACAGCAGTGCCCAGCTGACAGTTTCGGGTGAGAGTCGCTGAACCCTCCTGGTGAGGGGAGGCAGAGGGCCCTGCCCTGCCCCGCCGTTCAGTTACGATCCCGGTGGTTTTTGGACTTCTGCCACGTGCCAGACCCTGGACTTGGGCCCCAGGACAACCAGCCCGTGACGTCTGAGCTCAGGACACCCCCGTAGGTCGTGATCAGTTGCCAGGTGTCACCCACGGTTAGCAGTTTTGAATGAGCTTTTAGAAGGTGGCCAGTGCTGAGGCCGGCGTACTGTGAAAGTGTCCCCCCGAGTCCCGCCCTTCAGATCTGCTCTCCCCGGGAGCCTGGCTTCTTGTTTCGCTGGTATCTTGACAAACATTTGGGATTTCATCCAAATCTGAGGGTGTCTGTGAGGTGTGTGTGAATCAGCACCGTTTATCACGGGTGTTAACACGTAAGCACAGGGAACTGCCACACAGACTGGCCCACGGCGCCGCCTCTGCCCCACCCACCTCTCCTCTCCTCCCCCCTCCCTCCCGCTCCCCCACCTCCCCTCCCCCTACCTCTCCCCTTCCCCCTCTCTCCTGCTCCCCCACCTCCCCTCCCTCCACCTCCCCTCCTCCCCCATCCTGCTCCCCTACCTCCCTTCCCCCCACCTCTCCTCCCCCCTCTCTCCCGCTCCCCCACCTCCCCTCCCTCCACCTCTCCTCCTTCCCCTCTCTCCCGCTCCCCCACCTCCCCTCCCTCCACCTCTCCTCCTTCCCCTCCCTCCCGTTCCCCCACCTCCCCTC